GGAAGTCGCCAGGACTCTGAGCCCCTTGCTTTGCTTCTCTCTGTCAGAGACCTCCCAGCTCCCAGCTTTCCAGCACAGAGAGACTGCTTTTCTCTCCCAATTCCAGTTAAAAACATTTTCGTGAAGAACTCTGATTGGCTTGACTTGGCTTGGGTGTGATGCTTCCCTTTGTGGTCAGGGAGATAGATAGTACCATGAATAGGGTGGCTTGAGTCAGCCGATTGAGGCCAGGGATGGGTTCACCTCGGAATCACACAGTGAGAGTGGGGGAAGGGCCATTTCCAAAAGGACTGGGAAGATACATGGATGCAGCTTCTAGGACAGAGGGGTTGTACTCCTTTGTTCCAAATTTCTTTTTAAAATTTATTTTAATTTTTTAAGTGTTTATTTTTGAGAGACAGAGAGAGAGAGAGAGAGAGAGAGAGAGAGCGTGCGCACAACTGGGGGAGGGGAGGGGTAGAGAGAGAGAGGGAGACACAGAAATCAAAGCAGGCTCCAGGCTCTGAGCTATCAGCACAGAGCCCTACGTGGGGCTCGAACTCAGTGAGGTCATGACCTGAACTGAAGTATGAACGGTCAGGTCATGACCTGAGCTGAAGTATGAACCATCAGGTCATGACCTGAGCGGAAGCCTGACGCTTGACAGAATGAGCCACCCAGGGGCCCCCCTCCTTTGCTCTAAGTTCCTAATGACCGTAGCCATCCAGCTCCAGGCACTTCCTCCATAAAGTGCTTTCATGGAAAAAGGAGAAAGAAGGATGGATAAATGTTGGTCACTCCCAACATTTAGAACCAGATTTAGGCAGTGCTTACAACCTTGCTCTGGGAATCGCCGCCCGCCCGGTTGAATTGTGTTCTTAAGCGCCAGGATATTGGCCCCCACAGGGGCTGGGAAACCGAGGCTGGGTGGAGAAGGAGCTGCAATTATTCTGCCAGTGGGTTTTGAGCCCTTCGTCCATGCTGGATAATGGACGGGAACACAAGACGCACCCGGGGGAGCTCTGACCTCCCGGGGTTACTCGACGACGGAGACAGGTGGGTCTGCCTGGGGGGACTGGGTGCAGTCCCCGGCGAGGCGAGGGGCAGCCGGGCTGTCAGCAAGGAGAAGGGGGGAATGTCCCCCTGGGCTTCATGCCTAATCACTGGCTGTCGGGTCTGTGCCCCCGGGGCCCGGGCAGCTCCCTCTCTGGGGTCCACCCGAGCAAGAGCCCGCTTGCAGGTGGGAAGGGGTGGGGGGCGGGGAAGGTTGAGAGGTGGGAAGCCGGGTCCGGGGCGTGAGTGGGGGTTGGGAAGTGGGAGGCTCCGGGGTCAGCCCTCCCCGATTTGACACCGGGGCGGCTCAAGGGCGCTGGGTCAAACAACTGGGAGCAGACGGGCGGGGGGAGGCGTCGGGCCCTCGGCATAAAATCTCGGCGCCCCCCGCTACGCCGGGCTGGAGGTGTTCACGGTCCGGCAAGGTCAGGGGAGGGACAGCTGGCAGGTGACGACGGTCTACCGCGTAATATAAATAAGTTGCGCGCGTCGGCCGCGGAAGTGCGGAGCACGGAAGTAGAGGCAGGGGTCTGGCGCTGAGTTAAGCGGCAGGGGTCGATGCATGGGATGGGAACGCGTGACCCGGCTGGGGAGCGGGCTGGCGCCCTGGCTACGGCGACTCATGAGGACGACGGCCGGTAACTTCAGTCTGGCCAGCCGCAGCCACCACTCCAGCGTGAGGCCCGAGACCAGGTGACGCAAGCGCGCGCCGGGGGGGTGGGGGTGGGGCACATGGGGGTGGGACCCTCAGGCACCCGGGCTGCCTGCCCGTGGGTCTGTCCAGGGCGCAGTGGCCCCGAGGGGCCCTCGCCATGCCTCCTCCTTCTGTCCTGACTTCCCTCAGGGCCCACCCTGGCTCGGGCAGAGAGCAGGGCCCCACCAGGGGGGAGGCTCAAGTGGCCCTGAAGGCTCGTCCTCCCTTCCTCCCCCTCGGGGCTCACGGTCTCACCCGCACTCACACCAGCTGCCTCCTGGCCTGGATTCCACAGTGAGCCATAAGGATAAGGGACCGAGTGCTGAAATTCTCTCCCCTGGCTAGAAGGAGGGAGAGTATTCAGGGGTGGGGACCGGAGAGATGGGGAGGGGGGTTAGGGGACCCCCGCAGTGGGGGGATACTTAGCCTGCAGGTGGTGTTGTGGGGGTGGTGTTCACCAGGAAAAATTAAGGTTCTTCTTTCTGGGCAGATGGGTTCTTCCTCTGGGCCCGGGGCTGTGGTCTTCCCCAGGATTTTCTTTGTAGGGCCAGGAGGAAGTGGGGGATGAGGTGGGAAGGGTGCGTGAGGCTGTCCTGTCTGAAGAGTCAGAGCTTGGGGTTCCCAGGGGAGCCAGTTGCCCTGCCCAGGTTGGGGGAGCGGGATGCCAAGGGAGGGGTCCGGCCATGAGCCCTTTGCTCCTCTGTCAAGAGTGAGAGGTGTGGCTGCTCTCTTTGTTTTAGGAGCTAGACTACCCACAGACAAAGACACACGGTCGGTCAGTAGAGAGGCATAGGAACACTACATGGTGGCAGGTGGACACCCAGGGACACATGTACTGCCATGGAGAGGGACATTTCCTGCCCCCTCTGGGCAGGTCAGTTTCCCTCCAACTCTGGAGCCTGTTTTCCAAAGGGAACCGTGATGGTTGGCTGTTGGGACAGTGGCTGTGTCACAGCCCCAGAACTTGGCTTGTTGTGGGTTATGCAGAAAACAGCCACTCCTCTGAGAAGCTGTCTGGGGACCTCTTGTCCTCCGTTCCTAAAACAGCACCAAAACAGGCATCAAGGACGTTCAGGAAAAGTCCCAGGCACTTCCTCGTGAATTGGCTGAGTTCTGTTGACCTTGGAGTTGGAAAAGTTCAAATGTAACCGGAACCGGTTTCTGCATAAAACTCGTCAAATGGTGTCACATGTCTGGGGCAGGGCTGAGGGCTGGCATCGGTGACTGAGTCAGACTGGACAAGGCCCCTGGCTGCCAGGAAAGAATGCCCCTTCCTCCTAACCATTGACTCCACGGAAAAGCTGGAATGAACCTGGGACATTTACTCCAGCCTGTGGGGGGAAGCTGACTTGCTTGTAGGAGCGTCACTCTTGTCTCCCACTTGTCACAGTGACTTGCCTGGGCTGTGCCTCCTGCATCTGGCCTTTGTCAATACGGCAGAACAAATAGAAGAGAGGCAGTGATGGAGGGAGGGAAGCAGGGGCGGCCTGAAAACCAGGCAGAATGGGGAAGACAGTGGATCTGGACTGTTAGAGAAAAAGCTGGAGAGTGGACACCTACCTTGATGGTAGATACATTTTAATTGCCTAACCCATGAGCACAAAGCAGTGGGCCGGTCTGAGAACTGCAGGTGGGATGGGAGTGACTGGTTCAAGCCCCCTGAACCTAAATGAGAATGCTCTTAAAAGGATACTCTTTGCATCAAGCATTTGGAGGAGGCAGGGCTGGGGCAGTGTGAGAGAGGGTTTTCCAGTCCGGGCCTGTGGACCCGGTTTTGCCCCTGCCAGCTGGCTACAGACCCCGACAGGTCCTGAGGGACAAGGAGGGCCAGACTGATCTCACCTCCGGAAAAGCCTCTGGCCAAAGAGGGGAGAGTGTGGATGTGAATGGGGCTGTGTTGGGGAGAGGAGGGGCGGCAGTTCCCACTTGTCTAGCGAGGCCTGACTCTTGCGTTAGAGCAGGCAGCCATGCGGTCTTCTGTCCCTCAGAACAGCCTGACTGCCTGTGGGGATGGGAAGAGGGCCCAAGACATGAAGGAGAAAGAGGGTCCCTTGAGGACTTTGCCAGCTGTCCTTGGCTCCAGCCCAGATGAACCCTGACTATCCCAGAGTCCTGAGTGAGAGGCAAGTTCTGTTCCACTCACTCTTGGCTCCACCATTTTCTGGGTCTCCCTCTATGCATGGAGCTCACGAGGCGTTGTTCTCAAGGGCCCTTGTGAGGACGGGCTGCCCCTTGGGGACCGATGGACAGCTGGGCTGGGGCCTGGGCCACGGGAAGCTTTGGTCCAGGTCTAGAGCCTGGATCCCTGTGCATACCTCCCCTCCCCTGAATCCACAGCCCTGAAGTGGTTTCCAGTCAGTAGTCAGCTCAAGGATATTTGTAACACCCGTTGGGGGCAGAGTTCCAGCATGTGGACGGTCCCAGCAAACTATAGGCCCAGCCTCCTAGGGCGTCCAGCCCCTAGGGCCTCATCCCTGTAGAAGACGGGGCAGGGGTAGGCTGGAGCAGGTTAAGGAGGTATAGTCGGGTGGGTCTAGTTATGACTAACTACCTTCCGAGGGACACTCGGAAGCTTTAGGAGTCTCTGTCCCCCCGTTTCTTGGAGACCCTGGCCCAAGGGGGCTCAGAGGAACAGCAGAAGCTATGGTGTTTGCTACAGACAGCTTTGGAACACCTCTTCTGTCCCGCTTAGGTCAGGCAGGTTGTCTCAGGCTTTCAGGGAAACTGAGGCATCAGGCTAGGACTTTCCAAGGGCCTTTTACATCCCAGAATATGTGAAAGCCAAGAAGAATGGGAGGCCCCGGGTTCCACAGCCAGTCCTGGCTCCCTCCAGGCTCACTTTTCCTTCTTTACCAAGAGGCCTTTCTTGGGCCCTGAATTCCCATCCTGTAAAATGAAGGTGGCACTAAGAACTGTTCCAGGGCTTTCTGCACCAGCGTTTGGTGCCCCTGATTCTGACCTCCTCACAGGCGGTAAAGGGAGAGTTTCCTGCCTGGATGGGGCCCTAAGCCTAGCTGTGGCCCAGTTGGCAGGGCACGGGCAGCGCTCCCACTTTCTGAAGATAAGCTGCCTCCGTGGCACAGGATTCCTCCTGCCGGATCTGGCTGACAGCGTAGGGGTGAAGCCCGGAGAGCGCAGGACAGGGAACAGAGCAGCCCTAGAGAGAGCCAGGGAGGGGGTCACCATCGCAGCTCAGTCCCTTATCTCCTTGCAGGTGGCACCTGTCATTCTCCTCTTGGAGTTAGAGAGCTGATTCTCTCCCTCTCCTTCCCAGGGAAGAAATCCAGACCCACCAGAGGACAAATCTCTCAATTACGAGGTGAAAGGCAAAGGAAGTTCATGGTCAGGAAAGGATGGACTTGGCCAGTGTCTGGGAACCATGAGAGGTTCTGCCCACGCGGCCTCCAGAGGATTTGTAAAGCTCTGAGCAGAGGCAGCTGCGTTCTCGCTCTTTCCATCTTTTCTGGAGCAGCAGCTCCCTCTGGGGGGCGGCACCCTTCCTTTTTGAGAGATGCATTTGCCTTCCCTCTCTCCACCTTCTTTCCCTCTCTCTCACTCTGTTCCACAAAACAGCTGTTGAATGGCTGCAGTCAGCTGAGCACTGTGCTAGGAGTATGGAAGCTACAAAAAGAGCTAGGTCTGAAGGCTGGGTGGGCAGCAGGAAGGAGGGAGGGCTTTCCAAGCAAGGAGGCCAGAAGGATGGGCTCAGAGGCCGGGCGTGGACATGTCCATGGCAGTTAGGGACAGGTCTGATTCCAGTGGAACATGGTATTGGGAAGGAGAGAACGATAGTCATAGGGGTTGTGTGAGCAGATCAGGGAGGGCCTTGCACGCCCGGTTAAGGAGTTGAGACTCAGTGTAATGTACAATGGGGGGGCGGGGACTGTCACATTTTTTTCAGGGAAGTGGTGTGATATGCGGGGCGAAGGAGAAGGGGGCTGAGGTGGTCATCGGATTTGGAGCCGTGGGGGTCTTGATCAGAACACGACAGCAGGGCTAGAGCGAAAGGAAGAAAGCAGGGCCGAGAATGGTTGACCGGCTGGATTTGGGACCTGGAGGAGAGGGAGGGGTCCAAAATGGCACATTTACGGTTTGGCGTTTGGGAGGATGCTGGAGGTGGCCACACACCCAGGAACCCCTGAGAGGAAGCCATGTTTTGGGGTAGAGGTTGAGGTTGGGTTTTGGGTTATAAAGGGACAGACCATCCCTGTCCTCATAGGGGCAGCTGAAGGGAGTAACAGTGGAGGGGGTGGCCTCGCCTGGAGGTGTCTGTGTGAAGAAAGGTGGAGGGAGGGGCGGGTGGGGTGGTCTCCCTGGGTGGATCCGCAGCCCCCAGCTAGTGTCCCCCTTCAGCCACCCGGGGCAGGAGGGGTGATCAGGGCCCCTAGACATAATGGGCCCTTGTGCTGGTCTGACCGAGCTGGGTGCCTCCTGGCTCCTGCTGAATTAACCGCTTTGTTTTTCTCCTCTTCTCTCTTCCAGCTGGTTTGCCTTGTGTGGCCCCTTTAACTGTACTTTAACCTATTAATGGGCGTCCTCCAAGCCACCTGTCTGCTTCCTAGCCCGTTAGGGGATTTCTAGGAATGGGGGCTCTGCTCCCCCCAAAAGCCAAAGTGGGAGCTGCCCCCAGGCTGGTGTGCTGTGGGGTGGGGACACGCGCCAGGCAGCCGTGAGCCCCTCTCTTGGGGGCAGTGACCCAAGTGGCCTGGGACACATTTTTCTCCAAGCGCAGCCCCACGGGGCCTTCCTTCCTGCCTAACCATTCCCCTGGACTCTGCCGCATTTAACGAGCTCTCCGTTTCAGATACACCGGTGTGCCTGGTGGTGAGGCCACTTGCTAACTGGAGCAGGCCAACTAAGACAGCTGGTCCCTTTTAATAGAAAGGCCTCCGGGCCCCAGATGGTGGCCAATTAATACCCTGCAAACTGTTGTTGGTTTTGCCTCCTCTCCTTGCTCTTCTGGCCTAATGATTCCATTTGCTGTTTTCGCTTAGCTTATCAAGCAACCGGTTGTCTCACCCCAGCTCTGGAAGGTAAACGCACATTGCATTACATTTCTGACTGCCTTTTTCTCTCGGGTCTGGGCACTGAAGGGCCTCCGGGTGACTGCTTGTGCACTAATGGGGCTGCATGGGGTGAGGGGAGGGCCGGAGGGAGGGAAGGGGGGGAGGTGTGAGAGGGCACTCACGTGAGCGTGGGTCTCACAGGGGCCAGAGTTGACGCCTGCATGGACCGCTGAAAGGCTTCCTGGGACCCAGAAATAGGCAAGGCTTCCCCAGATGCCTGTTACTGTGTGTCTGTGCCCCCTGGAGAGGCACCATGGGGCCAGGACAGAGAGCCACCAGCCATGTGACCCACTGACCCATCCTAGGTGTCTGCGGTGTTTGTGATCCCCTGTCTAGATTTGACACCTCATTGTCTATCTTCTGACGCAAGGTTAATGACTTCAGCGTTTCCTTCTCAGTCTCTTCTCTTTCTACCACCTCTTTCTCCAATTTCCCTCCCTTTGGGCTCTCTCCATCCCTGCGAAACTATGAACTCTTTGAGGTCCGGGAATACCACGTTAGCGTATGCCTGCCTTTGCATGGTCTCGGAATCTGCTCCAGAGCCAGGCAGGACCTGAGCATCAGGCTCACAGTCGGGGTTCGCCCATCGAATGCCTGTTCTCTTGCATCCCGAGCTGGGGACAGCTTTCTCCCGCGGGCTGAACTGACTTCTATCATAAAAGTCGGAACATTTCCTGGATATCTCCCACCCCTTGGGCCCCATCCCAGACTCTGGTAGGTCTGGGGAGAGTCGCCTAGAAAGGTTTCTGAGAAGGCAACTGGTCTCTGAGTAGCTAATCATGTCTACTGACATGATTAGCGCCTACCCTGTACGTTTCCTTTGATATAGGAGAACATCAAAGAGCCTTTGTTCTGGGTTGGTTGATGATCTGGAGGGGGTGGAGGGGAGGGGATCACAGCCAACTCAGAGGGGAGCGGTGAGTGCTAACAGAGAAAGGATCTTGGAAGTTTCTTTAAAGCAAGGTAAAGAACCAAGTCTAAGGGCACAGTTAGGGTCCTTTGCACATTGTGATAAGCCCACGGTTCTGGTGTTCTTTAGAAACACGCGATTAGTTAGGCTGTGCTATCCTTATGAAGTCACAGAGTTGGAAGGACTTGGAGGTGTCAGGGTGGGACCAGACTGTTTCCAGATGTGTGGACTTCTGGCTTTCCAGGAGACTGGAAGCAGCCCTGCTCAGAGTCTATTCAAGTGGTCTGGAGGATGGGGACAGAAAGCGGGTGGACCTTGACCGCATATGCAGTGGCTCTCCCTGCCCTAACGCACCCCAGCCCCACCCCGCAGAGGGTGTTCATCTAGTCATGCCTTTTGGCAGTTATGCATGAGTTTCCAATGCAAGCATTTTCTATAATATAACTTAGAACCTAGTGGCTTTGGGAAGATGAGTGTACTTTCCCATTCAAGAGAAGTAATGAAATCAAATAACTACCTGCTACTGAATATCTAGCATGAACACCCGAAGAAAATTTCCTTGAAGCATAATTTCCTCCTTTTCTCTTTCCAGTAGCTTATTTCCTTAGACTTGCCCAAGTAGCTTCATCCTTAAGAGCCTAAGCTGAGTATTAGATCCAGGCTCGTGCTTCTGAGTAAGATAGGATTCTGGTTTTGCAGGGAGGACGTAATTAGGGATGTTCTGAATTAGCTGCAGAAGCCTGGAAGCCCGATGCCTTTTGGCACGGCACTTTCCTCTGGAAACGGTTGGTTGCGATTTGGTATTCCCCAGCCAGAAATATGCGGTCGGTATGAGAACAGCAAGAAACGTGTTGAGATGTTGTGTCTCCTGAGTGTCAGGGAGTTGAAGGGCCCTCTGTATCTGAGTGGGGTAAAGGCAAAGGCAGAGCACGATAGAGGAGGTCCAGATGAGAGTATCACAGCGGGTGTTATGGAACCCCGACCGCACGCCCAGTTCAAGCGTTCAGGTGCGTGAGAGCTTAGGGTCCCCTTTCTGGGCAGTCTTTGTGGGCGAGGGCTCCCGTCAGTTCCCCGGAGGCCCAGGTGTCTGCATTCCCCTGGAGACACCACGGCTGGACCCCTGTTGGTCCAGAATCTTACCTGATCCCGGACGCTCTTCCTGGGATATCACCTTTCTCCTCAAACTCTAGTCCAGAATGCCACCCACAGAAATGATGAGTTGAATGTGGACGCCCTCCCCGCAAAAGTCCTCTTTGCCGTGTTCCCACGGACACTCCCCTGCCCCTGGCGGAGAGGTCGCGGGCAGACGCATTGCCCAGGTGGCCGCCCCTCCTCCGAGGCACAGAGAAAGGCAGCTTTGAATGTTTTGTCTGTCTGTCTCCAGTTCCCCCTGCTTCTCTTCACTTCTCCCCTCCTGGTCCTCACTGCTGCTCACCAGGGGGTGTGTGAGTGGGGAGGGGGAGGGGGGCTGGGCACGGCTTGTGCATCACACAACCCGGCCGTGTGGTTACGCTTCACGCCTTGGGACGCGTTGTGTCTCTGCTGGCCCGTGAAAGGGTTTGGCATGGTGGTTTGCTTCCCGTGCCCAGGAAGGAGAGGACTGTACATGCTGAGCAGCGTCGGTGAGTCTGTGCTGGACTCAGCGAGCCCGCAAATGCCCTTGAATTTTGGGAGGCGGATTGTCCCTGTGGAACTACAAGTCCTGGCTTTTGCAGGAACGGATCTGTTGATGGTTTGGCGGTCGTGCTGGTCGGTCTTGGAGCTGGCCGCCATGTATTCACCTGAGCACGTGGTGTCCGGGGATGGACCCCAAGAGCAGACTCTCTTTCCTGACACCCCTGTGAATTAGAGTCTACCTTTGGGTCTAGACC